GAGAGAGTCTAATTGACTGCTATTATTATGATTATTACAGAGCTGCTATTAATTATTAGTCATAGGCGTGTTACATTATATGACTGCTAATTATTACGTATTAATTAAGACTGCTATTATTACGTATTAATTCAGATGACTGTATAATTATTATGTATTAATTAATGACTGCTATTATTACGTGATTAATTAGGATGCAGTGCGTGACGGGACCGACTGACTCAGCACGAGGACAGCACGAGCGCGTCGGCTACAAGTTCACAGGAGATTTCGTGGTGAAGAAGACCTTGTTGACGGCTACACTCACGTGCACGCTCAGCCACAGTACGCTGTTACGCAACGCCATAGGTCCTCAGGTGCCATTCGATCGGCACTGCCTACGGGACATGAGAATTTCCGGCGGATTCGCGGATTTCCGGGTTCTTGCGTTCCATTTTGTCATTTTTTGAGATTGATGCGAAAAAAAAAACATAATAAAATTTGAGAGGGGGTAAAGCTGTACTATTTCTTATCGAATTGGATGCCATGTTTTAATTTAAACTTCATAAAAGCGTCCAGGAAAAGTTACTCGCAATTTCCACACCAGAGTAACGACACTCCAGGATAAACATCGCGGGGTGTATATAAAACATTGAAATTTTTTTAGAAAAATGACGCGTTAGGCATGAAATGGACTTACAATCTTCCCCAGGATGCATGTAAATGGGCCTATAGATGTGCACTTTCAAAATTTCAAGATTGCTTGGCGGGCATGCCCCCAACACCCCCTAGCAGGACAGTGGTGCCCGACGCAAACTGAAGACACGAATTGAAATATTTTCTCCAAAAGATCTCAAACCTGTTCTCATGCCTGTGCAACTCGACGGTGGCCGTAGTGATCGTTTGGTTGCTCGTTTTATTGCCGTTAGTTGCTTCCTTACTGGCCGTGAGGCGGGCGTTGGGCGTCCTTACTTGCCGTGAGTTGCCTCCTTACTTGCCAGTTGGTGCCGTCCTTAATTGCCGTGTTGCCCTCCTTGACTAGCGTGGGTCTGCCTTCCGCTTACTTGCGTAGTTGCCTTCCTTACTTAGCCGTGGTTGCCTTTCCTTACTTGCCGTTGTGTTGCCGTCGCTTACTTAGCCGTGGTTGCCGTTCTTACTTGCCGTAGTTGCCTTCGCTTACTAGCCGTGGTGCCTTCCTTAACTTGCCGTTAGTTGCCTTTCCTTACTTGCCGCTGGTTGCCTTTCCTTATGCCGTGCGTTGCCTTCCGTTAGCTAGCCGCGGCGTTGCCGTCCTTTTACTTGCCGTGTTGCCTTCCCTTACTTGCCGTGGTTTGCCTTCCTACTTGCCGCTGGTTGCCTTTCCTTTACTGCCGAGTGCCTTCCTAGCGTGGGTTTCATTGAGGTGTTGTATAACAACGCCATAGCTTCTCTCTGTAATTGCAGATTTCTGTTGGTATCGTGTTGAGTTTGATGAACAACACTGCTCTACATTGTGGGAATTATTGCAGTTTTATCATAAGAACACCATGAGTTTTCTCTCTGGGCTTCCATGGGTTTGAGAACAATGGAACCATACGGAGTTGACGAAGCCAACCCATTTGATGTTCCAGATTGTTCGAGGAATCACCTAGCCACCTGACTGAACAGCGTGCGCCACGGCAACAGCAGAGTGTCCTGATTTCCAGCAGCATGAACGTGTTCTGCTCGGATTAGACCTGCGCCACTCTACTTCCTCAAGAAGCACTTCAATACAATTCTGAAAGATGCTGGGTGCCACTCAGGTTAGGGAGATTGCAGGAGTGCAAGTGTAGGCATGGTAGAGGAAGAGGCAGGTAGAGCTAGGCAGGGAGAGGGCAGGCAGGTAAGGCAGGCAGTTAGCAGCTTAGGCAGGGAGGAGGGCAGGACAGGTAGAGGGAGGCAGGTAGAGGCAGGTAGAGGGCGGAGCAGGTAGAGGGCAGGGCAGGTAGAGGGAGAAGGTCAGATGTGGCAGGGGTGTAGAGATCTGAATGAGTCTGATCAATGTACATGTGTAATCCTTACTCCAAATTGGAATTGGATATTCTCGAATCGAAAAATGTGAATGTGTGTATTGACGACTGCCCAGTATTGTTTTTGGGGACCATCGCGCCTATGAGTGAACGAGCCGTTCGTTGCAGGTTGTTTCTTCCTCGAAAGTTGACCGCATTCCCCAAACCCATCGTGCTCGGGCGGTGAACCGGACTAGGCCGTCGGCGTGGGGGCAGGCACTGTTGCGCTGTGTGACGTCGTCTATTGCCAGCCCGATAAGGCGGTGACTTCAAGCATGACCCTATGCTCAGCTGGGGCAGACACCGGAGGCGGTGCGCATCCACACGCCTTGCCGAGACTGCTCGGTGGAGCTCTCCGTGAGTTGTATTTTCAGTTCACAGTCGTCGGCGTTCTCGTCTCGTTGATTCTCACTTTGTGGCTCTTCATCCCTTTTCTCCCTTTTTCACTTTTACCACCCTCTCCCTCTTCTGGCAGCTCTTTCTCTTTCTTTTTTTCTTTCTGTTTCTCTCTCTTCTCTCTCCCTCCCTCCTCTCCTCTCCCACTCCTCGCCTACCCCCTCCCTCTTCCCCTGGCTCTTTCTCTCTATGATTTTCTTTCTCTCTCTCTCTCTCTCTTTCTCTCTCTTTCTCGTTCCTCTTCTCTCTCTGCTCTCTCTCTCGTCTCTCTCTCTATCTCTCTCCCTCTCTCTCTTTCTTCTCCCGTCTCTCTCTCTCTCTCTCTCTCTCTCTCTCTCTCTTCTCTCTCCCTCTCCTCTCTTTCCTCCTCTCTCTCTCTCTTCTCTTCTCTCTCTCTCTCTCTCTCTCTCTTCACTTTTCGGAGCATCTCACAGCATCTCACTACATTTTTCGTACCTTTACCAGCCTGGGGGACCTCTTTTAAATATTCACTTTTCGTATGTACAGTTGTAATTACTATTACTTTCCACCCAGTCGACATAACAAATGCACGCGTGGCTTTCGCACGCTTCCAGGGTATGTAGCGGGGGGTTCTTCCAAGTCTTATAAGTACTTATTTTGCCAAAAATATAAATAAGGGCCCTTATTTAGCTACTTATTTTTGGTAAATCTTTAGAAAGCTACTTAATAGTCCTTATTTTTTTATAACTTTTCTCGACAGAGTAAAGATTGTGTATATTATTAATACGCATAATTAAACCTGCTGTGCAATTGTGTATATATACAAATATTATTAGGTGTACTTTAACTAGTCGTTGATCTATCAAAAATCGCGCTAAAAAAGTCTTATTTTGCCTTCCAGAAGTTTTATAAGTCCTTATTTCAACATGTCTTATGCTATCTATGACCCTGCGTTCTCGTCTGGTTTAGATGATAATGACAATGGCTTGGTTCCCAACAGGCAAACGAGGTGTTTATGGCCGGTCGTAAGCTGACTGCTACGGAGGCAGCGCAGCACGGCCTCGTCTCCTCAAGGTATTCCTCTCAAACAACTTCATGCAGCAGGTGATCGCGCGTCCGGCACATGGCCTCCGCAGCACCCATGGTGAGTTGCCTGCGTCGCCGACCGATCTGCGTTGCTGCAGAGAGAGAGCGAGCGAACGAGAGAGGGAGAGAGAGAGAGGGGGGGGGAGTGGTGTGTGAGAGAGAGATGAGGAGATGAGGCGAGGAGAGAGCAAGTGAGAGGAGAGAGAGAGAGTCCACCGCGGGGGGGAGTGAGTGAGAGAGAGAAAGAGACTAAGAGAAGAGAGGGGAGAGAGAGAGAGAGCAGAGACGAGAGAGGGTGAGGTGCAGAGAGAAGAAAGAGAGATAGTGAGGGGGGAGAGAGAAAGAGAGCGAAGAGAGAGAGAAGCAGGGAGAGAGAGGATACCTTGAATGTATTCTATATTATATAAACTGAAATGTAAAAGTTGCATAAACATTAGGAAAAGGAAAAGTTTCATGTTTTCTTTGTAGTGACCGACCACCGTTGCAGCGTAGTGCTACGTTATGTTTGTTGTTGCGCAGTCTTGGCTTCCATGAGCTGTGATGACAGCGGAAGAGGATGAAGAAGACTTGAGAGAAGTGACTGGAGCAGGAGTTCGCACTCTGCTGCACGCTCACTGGGTCCTCACCTGAGTTCTATCAAACAACATTCGCTCCTACCTAAACGAGCACAAGTCCAGGCACCACTACTGTGATGCACTCACACTCCACGACTTTGGCAAGAGACAGTATCTATTGTGATGCCACTCCACTTCACACTGGCAGAGACGACCATCTACGTGTATGACACTCACACTGGCAGAGACAGGATCTACTGTTGATGGCACTCACACTCCACACTGGCAGAGACAGCGATCTATTGTGATGCCACTCACACTCCACACGCGCAGAGGACACCATCTACTGTGATGCCACTTCACACTCCACACTTGTCAGAGACACAATCTAGCTGTGATGCCACTCACACTCCACACTGCTCAGGAGCACCATCTACATTGATGGACTCCCACACCTCACCACTGCAGGACACACCATCTACTGTGATGTGCTTCACACTCCACACTGTGCAGAGACGAGTATCTACTGTGATGCCACATCACACTTCACACTGTCAGACAGCAGCTGCTGTGATCGCACTCCACCTCCACACTGCAGACACCATCTACTGTGATGCACTCACACTTCACACTGGCAGAGACACCATCTACTGTGATGCACTCACACTCCACACTGGCAGAGACACCATCTACTGTGATGCACTCACACTTCACACTGGCAGACAGCATCTCCTGTGATAGGCATGACTTTACAGTGGTAGACGCCACTATGAGGCGCATGAACCGTCCACCGCTATATTTCCTCACGGCCTTTCTGGCAAATCTACGTTTTCGTCTAGTTTTATAAACCCACTCCAATATCCATTTTGGCTGTTTCACCACTCCAGCTTCGCCTCTTTTCTAAGGCCATACTGTAACTCTGTTTTAAATGCACTCGTTTGTAAACGGCATCACTCACTTCTTCAACGTGCAGTTTTATAATGTCGCATAAAAATACGAGGTTCGTGTGTAGTTTTGTATATAGACATATATAAATCATGGCCTATTATGCAATTTTGTAGTTGAACGGCAAGGCGTTAGAAATGTGTTGCTCGTTTTGTTACAGCGAATGAGACTAATCTCACAATGGTCGCCGTAGCGTATGCGCATTAGTGTTCTTCCTGTTACCATTCGTTATGTTCCTGTTATCGTATATTTACACGGAATAAGAATCTGTCCGAAAGTGTTACTCGTGTTGGTTTTCTGAAATACCATTTTTAACGCCTGACGGAAAGTCTTTGGAAGTTTTTGCCTCTGTGCTGATTTTCGTTGCTAAGACGCACCTATCTTCATAACACGTTCTAAACTTCAGGTTTAACCTGACATGAAAATCCAATCGCATTTTGATATGCTCAGACGAGGTATATACGGTGTGAACCAGTGTTACAAAGTTAGGTGATTTCAAAAAGCAATAGGATTTTGCTTGGCCGCTCGGATGTAACTTAACCGATGGATCGGCAATGACCCGTAGTTAAAGGATTTACGAAATTTCTGGGTGAATTCTTTTTTAAAAACCAACCATTTCCTTTACGTAAAAACATGATATATGGTTGAATCTGTGGCGGCCATGCAGAATTATTCAGTTCGTTTTGCTGTGTGGTGGACCGCTGATATTTTTTTGGGATCTGCTCGGATAATTGCAACTGCTTTTGTTCATTGCAGTCTAATCACTATAGACGATCACAGACCTATTGCAATGTTACGGCGAGTAGGTTGGTGAGAGGATAAGCGGGAAGTGTCTTCAAAGTGTGATACTCGGCTCTGGAACATTAGCCGATGCCTATATCCATAGCACCGTAGCCAATATGATAATACTAGCGAGCAAAGTGTACCGTAGAGACACTGACGAGAAGCGCGTCTCGTTTGTAAATGCACATTTGCCAAGGTGCCTCAAGGTGGTAGTTCCAAGTGGTGTTGTTGACAGGCGCACGTAAAGTCGCGTTCAGCATTTGTCCGTGTACAGATTGAGTTTTTTGGTTCTTAGGGTTTGTAGTCTGCGTTTAATACTACAGAGGAGTTCAGACTAGAGTAGTAGACTAGAGAGGAGTTAAATTGACCAGCGGTCAGATACTATACTATATATATATATATACTATGCACCCGTCGCTCGACACGGCGACGCGTTTAGTTTTAGCTGTAGGCAACCAGCTATTTATTTATTAGATATTCTACTTGTGTTTCGTGGTCGGGTCTAGTATTAGAGAAGGGCGTCGAGGTATGGCGTTGCGACCACGGCCGTGGCGATGCGAAGTCGTTCCGAGTTTCGACCGAGGTGTGGAGGGAGATATGCGTCTGGTCTAGTGTAGATACGCACATGTAAACGCGCCATTGGATGTTTTATAGACTGCATGGAAACTGCCATCGTCTCGGAGGAGGCGGCGGGATTGTATAGACAACTGATGTAACACGCTGTTATCAGGGGTGAATAGTGACAATTGTCATTTGTCAAATGACAAATCGACAAATGACATTTTTCATTGTTCACCCCTGCTGTTATGCAGTATCATGTTTATATCCGCTCTGTTTTCAGTCATGACCAGCGTGAGAGGCGTATTTTGAATTGAACACGAATGCTAAGTGCTCAGTCTCTCACCTCCAAACCTGTTAATTTCCTCTTATTTAAATTATGTATGTCTGAACTTGTTACAAA